CGTCGAACTGGTTCGAACGAGCGCAAGCATAATATTGTGTGGGGAGAATTGGAGTGGCCACAAAGGGCAAAGCGAGAGCCGAGTTAAAGTGAGGCCGTACGGTAGGGTGTCACACGAAATATGGTCAAAGAAGTTGGCCAGTTGTACCAGCTTCCCAATTAAATTTTTTTTGCCTAGTTTTGCGGACATGGCAAAAATTGTGATATTCCAACATCTACCAAACAAGACATTTATTCACAGGATACTGTCCATATATCTTTGCGGCATAAGCTGCTGGTGAGCTGTGCAAGTATCCATGGTTCTTGGGTTGCATCACAATGGAGCCAATGTAAAAATAATACTGGCGAAACGCAACAGGACAAAGAACCGCCTGTTTCATTCCCAGGCACGTGTGGGACCATCTGGTTTGGAACCTACCACCAACAAACCCTCGATACTCACAATAAAAGTCATGTACACGAATATGTCATCGAAGAGTTTAGTTGTTAATGCATTTAACATTCTTTTGTATATATTGAATCCCCCAGTTCTTTGACTGTGCACACTGATAAGCGCACGCTTCCAACAGTTGAGGCTATGGCTACCCCACTATGTTACCGTCGTATGTTCTGTTAGATATCCGGTTAAAGTTTCGAGCTAGGCTGCCAACAGAGATCCGGCTAAAGGAAGCACGCGAACGGCCAAAAGTAGGAAGCAATTCGATGGAACTTACAAACGCTACAAATTCTTTATTTGCACAGTCCTGCGGAGGGACCGACACAACAGCGCCCACGGCACACAACGGGACAGAGCACAGCACGAATGAAGCGTGTGTTCATGAACGCTCAATACTGCCATGCAACATGACTGAAATACATAAACCAAAAAACGATTAATGGCCGGTCACCTAACTGCCGGCCTAAAAACTAATACAAAGTTGACATCCGTCAACGCACTCCTGACAACAAAAGCCCTATCTTGCATGTGCACAAACGCCCAAGGCCTTCTAAGCAAGTTGGCCGAACTTAGAGAACTCCATGCCTCACAACCGCGTGACCTCGTCATGATTACAGCGACATGGTTAAACCCTGAGATAACCGATTCTGAGATCAACTTACCCGGTATGTCGCTGCTTCGGACTGATATAACCAGAAGGGGTGACAATGTGATTCTTTACTATAATACAAACCTCACATGTGGAGTTATCGACCACCCGGAAATCCGAGCTCCCGATTCGCTTTGGTGCCGCCTTTGGTTGCGAAACAAGGTCACATGTCTACTAGCCGTGATTTATCGCCTACCATACTCAAATGCGAAAATGGACTCCAAACTGAACCACATTTTTCAGTTTGCTTTGAACAAGTCCTACACCCACATTCTTATCGCTGGAGGCTTTAACGTTCACGACATAGAAACGCCAGCAACCGACGGTACGCAGTTTAAAGTCTGCTTGCAAGAGCTAATTGCTAGCCACCCTCTTTACAACCACGTAACCTCTCCCACCAGATTTCGAACTTCTAACAAGCCGTCGATACTGGATCTTGTGCTAACTAACGAAGAACTCATGGTTGACGGACTAGTTACAAGTACACCACTGGGTCGTAGTGATCATGTTATTCTACTCTTTGACTATATATGCTATGCGGAGTACCCTGAAAAGCAGGATGGTGAAGTGCATACTGTCACGCACTACAGTGTGTTACCTAAGCTTGTTAAGGATACATCTTGGACTTTCTTAACCGAATTCCACCCGGATGTTGCGTGGGAAACATTTACAAGGACGTTTAGCACAATGGTTGCGCACGCATCGGAACAGAAGTCCTTCCAACCCAAAACAAGCATAAGTCATTTCTGAGGAGCAGTACACGTAAATTTATGCTCCGGAGGGATTTTGCATGGCGAGATCACCAGGACTGCCCGAATGCCGAAATCTGGACTGCATACGTGACACATCGTAACCTCTGTGTGAAACTGATCCGCGAAGACAAGGTCACTCATCAACAGGAGCTAATGTAACGATTCTGCAAGAACCGAAAACTCCAGTACAGGCAAGTTAACGGCCTTCGAAAGCTGAAGCGGGGGGTTCCAGCACTAGTCACGGCTGATGGGTGTACGCGATCAGCAATGGAAGCAGCTGATCTCCTACGGCCTCATTACTCCCGAACTTTCCAGCAGGTAACGAGCCCAAACATTCGCCTCATTTCTAATACTCCACCGTCAGGTATAGACAATATCACCTTCACTGCGGAAGCCGTGTTGAAAAAGTTGTTATGCTTGCGTATCCACAGTTTTCCCGGAGCCGACAACATCCGACCAAAGGCTCGACAGGCGGTTGCTAGTGATCTAGCAGAACCACTGGCTGTTTTCTATCAGCGATGTCTAGAGGAAAACCGTATTCCATCACTATCGAAGCGAGAGGTCATCACTCCTCTCCATAAAAGAGGTAGCCGCACTGATCCTGCCAACTACTGTCCAATAACACTACTTCCCGTACTATCCAAAGTGATGGAATCAATCATCGCAGATGCGCTGATGGAATACCTGGAAAGCCACAATTTAATAGCCCCAGAGCAACATGGCTTTCGTCAAAAGCATTCGTGTAATACTAACCTATTATTTGCACGTAATAGCTGGACTGAAGCTGTTGATGATGGAGTAGGAGTCGATGTCATCTACCTGGACTTTTCAAAAGCGTTTGATCGTTTAGACCATCGAGTTCTCCTTCAGAAGCTTCGGAACTACGGCATTGGCGATCCAATCCTGAGTTGGATTAGCAATTTTCTACAAAAGCTAGGGCTAGTGGTGTGAGTCCGAGAATCATTGTCTGATGCAATCAATGCGGCGTGTGGAGTACCACAAGGCTTGGTTGTTGGACCTCATCTATTCTTGGTGTTCATTAACGAGTTGGCGAGATCAATTTCTTCCGTTTTCCTTTTCTCGCTGATGATCTCCAGTATGGCGAAGGATCAGAGGATTGGACGCCCAGGAACGGCTCCAGTGCGAGCTTAACGCAGTGTCGAACTGTTAAGTTCAAAATGCCTTACCATTCAACTTAGACAAATGTCGCATTGCACAATTACGCCATAGACATAACTATACCTATTTACTTGGGACAAACGGATTGCAGATTAGATCCCAGGAAGGTGATCTTGGTGTGATCGTACAGAGCGACCTCAACTGTTTAAAACAGGCTGAGGTACTGCAAAAAGAGGCAACCACCACGTCGGCATGCTACGAAGTACATTTGGGATATTTGACCCATCAATCTTCCCAATGATGCACGATTCCTATTTTCACCCGCATGTTGAATACGCTATCCAAGCTTGCAAACTTGGTTGAACTGCGACCTCGAGGCGTTAGAAGCACGTCAACGAAGAGCAACAAAGCATGTAAACGGCCTGCGCTATCACCCTTACCACCGAAGGCTGCAGTTGCTGGGAATTTTCAGTGGACGCTATCGAAGGCTGCGCGGTGATCTCATATTAGTTTATCAGATACTGAGTGACCCCAACCACGTATGCCGCCACTTGCTGGAACTTAGCCAGAACACGCAGCTCAGCGGTAACTGCTTAAATTTGAAGGAACAACATAGCCGTCTAGTGTCGATGGAATTACTTTTCCCTTCGTGTTTGCCAACCCTAGAACGCACTCCCAGATTCAGTTGTATCCTCTTCTACCTTGGATGTTTTCAAAAAGCGATTAGATGTTGCTCTTAGTGCCCAGCATTTTGTTACCTAAACTTCTCTATTGTGAATGACGCCAAGCATGCTTTTCAACAGGATTTATGTATTAAAAGTACCCAAGTGAGCGACCGTATTTTATTTTCCTCATACCTTATATCAACCATCACTGCACCCCAATGTTTACGCTCGATTTTATTTGAAAGTTTACACTGATGTAATTTATCAAAGTATTCATCTCGACAGGTGTTCGGTAGATAACCCACAAACATTCATTGCATCATATTCATCCCAAAAATCCTACGGACTTGTCAAGAACTTGCTTTCATCCCTTGATAAATCATTGTTCATTTTCATTGTTCATTGTTTATACATAATGTAAAGATTACTCAGCATCAAGTAAGGAATATAAAAACACAGACACAGTAAAGAGTGGGTATTTATTGGTGGAAACGTGGAGCAGTTGTTATCTGAGTTCAAAATATTGCAGCAAGGTACATAGCTGCTAGGATTTTAGTAGTCAAGAAAAATCACCATCTCCAAATAAAGATCGATGAGAGAACTACAATCGAAGTACCGAACTCCAGATCATAGACGAGAAACAACATGAACATGACAAGTAAGGGAGGAACTCGCAATTCTACCTAGATTCTTTAACCCATGAGAACATACGAAAGGTGTTATGTCTTAATAGCAATCTTCTTGACAGATACCCGGTTTGAATGCACAAAGACACCACAATTTAATCCATAGGGGAATAATGCAAAATGTAAAAATGATGAATAATGTGGATCTCATTCGCAGCTGATATTCCACTGAGTTGTGGAGCAGTGTTTTAAGGCACTCCTTAGAGCAGTCCACTGATTCTTCCGCCTCCGCTCTTACAACAGACGCCACGGGATGTTCAGAAGCGGTAGAGCTACGTTGTTAGTAGGTGATAAGATCGGCGTTAAGGAAAATGCAGCTTCACATATAACAATGTGGACGAAGACTTGACTGCAAAAGTAGTAGGACTTTAAACTGTGTTTCATCATCATCCATGACGATACCATGGAATAAATAGAACACCATATCACTGTTAAACTAGATTATACTCATCCAGTGAGATAGTGTGCGCAAGCTACACATAAGACCGGATCATTGTCCAACGAGTAATCCTGTAATTGTGCATCACATAAACAGTTACATGCAGTTGTGTTCCCCGATTGGTAAGAAGGCATGCTTCAGGATAGTGAATAATGTGCTGCGCAGCGGTGTTAGAAAGTGTAATCGGTCGGCTTCAGTATCCTGTTGGTTAGCAGTTATTGTCAATCTAGGTAATTGGTGGGTTCGGTTGGAAAATCACAATTCGATTACGGGGATGCTGTGGACAAACAGTTGAACTCTAGGGGAGAACATAAAAAAGAAAACCGAGCGACCCATAGGAATGGAAGCTGTGAAAACCAAACAGACAAGATCTGAGTTAGAATAGTATTGTATGGATGTACTACATCTGAGGCGGTTTCCATTCATGAATGCGACTACACTTAGGTCTCCAGTAGAGGGTCTTACATTTCGGTTGTGCCATTCAGCCTTCCTTGCTGTAGCTTCGTCCATCCATCCGTGAGCTCCGTCAAACCATTTAACATCTTAACAAACGGCACAGCAAATTTGCTAAGCAAACGGTATGTCGGTATGGCAGTTGACTGGGGTTTTAGCTAGGAGACAGGGATTGCTCTGCTAAACGACATTCAGCGGCAACAGTTGTGCTGAATTCTATTTTCTGCAATAAAAATATGCAGTCGTGTTATTAGTCCTACTCCCGGTAGTAATGCTCTTGGTCTGCACCAGCAGTGATGCTCTGATTGAAAGATCAAACATAAGTGCTACTACGAACACCGATAAAGGCAGACTAGTAAAGCATCGGCAGTAGGCTGGAAAGTAGGGCGGACTCATTGATGATATGCGACCACCAGCTGTCATATAGTCAGGAAGAGTGCGGCATTAGTTGCACCAACGCAAGCTTCAATCCGCGACCTGTGGGTTGCCATCTTGACCACTCGGCCATCTCCGGCCGGCAAACAAGCATGCAGTGGAATAATAAGTACTGTCTTGGAGTTAAGATAGAAACTGATCACTCAGTAAACACTGACAGCAAGATTTGACCGATTCGATACTGTCGGCTTACTGAATGCGAGAGATACGAACATCCGATCATTAGCAAGTGGTGACAAGCAACTTCGCATCCATTGGCATACAAGAACGCGACAGAAGGGAACAAGTGATTGAATTTATTAGATAATCGAGATTCAGTCAGTACGATGAGTATCTTGTTAACACATATAAATGAAAAGTAGGACTTATAAGCTGCTCATGAGTTCAATGGTGGGATAACCGACGCCATGATCTGCCAAGCGTTGAAAGACACCTAAGGATTCAACTGGGAATTGTGAGTGTCATCAAGCAACCGGTCCAGGGGCCCCAATATACTCAATGATTGAAATCTCCTTAGCCACATATGCGAAGTCTATGTGATTTCACCAGGCTCTTCGGCTATCGACCTGATAAAATCGAGTACCTTTTCAAGTGTGATTACTGAAACTGTATTGATGGAACGCTGGTCTACCGCGTGGGATAACAGATTTGCTGCAGTACCTGGGTTATCATCGGGATAAACCACCAAGTCGGTGCAGCCCGCCGATGCGCTTATTCGTGACGAGACACCATAATCCTTTAAAGAAACGAGGTCCATGCGCTATGTAACTGGAAGATGACGCATCTAATGTTTCTGCATCTGCGATTCGGACTGTAGACAAATCAGGGCACTTAGAATCGTCGAATGAAACGGAAACCCGTAATGTGATCCATCACCTTGTCTCTGGATCATTAAATAGTCAGAGACGTCTCCGCAGGTGTCTACACTGTCAACATGAGCTAATAAACGACATTAATAGGGCACAAACTGAGGAACACGTAACTGCGCTACAAGTGTCTACTGACAGTGAGAAAACTTATGACCAGCGTCGCGATCAGTGAACAGAGTGCGCTTTAATGATAATCACCTCAAGGTTCGGTGGTGTGGCGCGGATCAAGCCTAACTAGTTTGTCAAAACAATGGACGACACTGACTCTCGGCACTCAGTTATGACGAACCGCGTTACAAAGATCGCTGCGTCACATTCATCACATGCAATATTGCCTCCTGGTCGATATCTCCAGTTTTTAATGAAGCACAAGTGCTGAGTAAACCAGTGGAAAAAGCAGAATTCCGCCAAATGATTCTGCGGTAAAAATGCAATGTAAGAAGTTTCTGAGCGATTACGCTTTTCTGCGTCTGGTTAAGAAGCCGTATAGTGCAAGTAATCACTGCGATATTGGTGGAAATCGGCTACGAACAGTGTAGCGCACCTATTCCATATATTTCCAGGAGAATCATCAAATGATGGACTTCAATTGCATTGAAAATAACGCTGTACCGATTCATCAACCGGGAGAAACACGAGAGAGTGATGATAAGGTTTTGACCCTGCCTCTTGCAGCCGAATTAGGGAAATGAGTGTTGGGGTATACGCTGCATTAATTTCTTAGTAAGTGCCTGTGTACATTATCAATTTAGCGACTCTAACAACTGCGTTCCGTTTTAGGTAGATACGTGACAGAGATGTGATAGGATACAGAAAAGTTGCAGATCGTTAAAATTACGGGCAATCGTGACATTATTTCTCTGGAACAATGCAGTAAAGGATATTCCCAATGAAATGTCAAAACAATTAGGGAAAGAACCGTCCTCCCTACAGCACTGCCAAAAACTGGCTGTCTTTTTTCAATGCAGGACCTTTAATCATCGCAAACAATTTACGCAGCGTGCGACTCCCGAACTTAATTGATGCAACAGCCTGAGGTGCTATCCATGAGTGGACTATGGAGAATGTGCAAATACCCATAACATACAGCCGAGAAACAGGACTTCTCCCGGGGTCCTGTTGGACTGCTAGTCTTGTTTTCTTTACTGTGCTACATATACGCAAGCTTTTAGAAGTGTGTGCCAAAATGTTTAACGTGGAAAGAAGGAACCAGATGACCCATTGAGTCATTTTGGCTCATTTTGAGTTTTGACTACTTTACTGACTGAGGAGAAGATATAACTCCATATCCATGATACTGAAATAACTAAAAAGGCAAAGTAATGACAGCACGGCGAGTATCCGCGGTCAAAGCTCCCACGCGCTCAGTACTCAGCTAAAGAACACGACGTCGGTTATCTGGGGCAACGGTGGTATTTGTGGACTTAACGTCGGAAAGGCAAAGCGGACGAATGCAGGTGTAGGTGGTCAGACCGAATACCCAGTCAGACGTGTAGGTCATATGAAATCAATACATACCCAGACGTTGTCCAATCGTCATGCCTGACGTGAGCAGTTAGGTGAAGATGCATAGTCAGCTGTTTCTGTACGCAAAGCAGTGGCCGCTCTTGGTCGATGACCATAGCCTGCGAATGTGGAGCTGCTGATTGCGCATTGAGACGGCGACTTACTCATCGGGATTGACTCTGTGGCCGATGCCCTGTGACTTGTCAGGCAGATCGAGTTCTCAGCTCAGCTGGTTCTGTCATCACCGAGCCCATCCGGTGGCGTAAATACTTAGGAACGTATTCATTGATCCTGACACCTAAGCTTCTGTTTGGACTTATAAAGGGAATTTACTGTTTCAGAGTGCAGGTGTCGTGTGAGTGGTGCCAGGATTGCCGATTCGCAACATGGGAGAAAAGCTTACATGGGGTGGGGTTCCAAACACCCAATCAGACAAACAAGGGTTGTGTAAGCCGTGCCAGGATGGCTTAGTTGTGAGAAACGACCTCGGGTGTCAAACTACCAAGGGGTTAGAGAAACCAAATGTGGGAACTGCCAATGATTGTACAGGCGTGGCCGTGTTTACGAGTTGGCCAAAGCGACAGACGTCAGACGAACTTGGCATAGGGGGACGGAAGTTTACGGTCAAAATATCAGTATGGCGGAGTATATCTGACTTATAGATAGAACCATGATTAATTCTGATAGATCTTCTCTGGTATCATCTGGATTTCGCCAGCTGGGTTGAATGCCGCACAATGCAGTGGGCAGAGACAAATCAGCGTTACGACAGCGACCGTTTACGACACTACTTCAGTGTTCTAGTATTACGCGGACAATATGATGCTGACATACTCGAACGGCTGAAGGAAATTCCTAATCTACCCAAGGACAGGATCACCAACTTCATAGTTTTAGAGCCTGCGAAATAGAATGCGGTGATCCAGTCGGTCAAAGGCTTTGGAGAAGTCGTGGTAAATGACGTCTGTCCCTCGGCCTTTATCGGCCGCTTCCATCCAAATACCTCGTGCAACCAGTAGGTTGGTAGTGCATGAACGGTGCTGGCGGAACTCGTGTTGCTCGGGTGTTATGATGTTGTGGTCTATTAAAGCCTCAGCGATGATTGCCTCCATCACCTTTGAGAGCACAGAAAAGAGGATCACTGGGCGATAGAGGCCAGCTCCGACCGACTACCGCTTTCGAAAATTGGAGTGGTTAAGCCATGTTTCCACATGGTAGTCACAATTTGCTTACCCAAGCACGTTTGGAAGTAATGCGATAATGGTCCGTTCTGCGTTGCTGCTGCTACGTTCAGCGCCATCCAGTGAATATAATCGATTCCGGGAGAGCAGTAGGTGCGTAGTGAGAGTAGTAAAATCGACTTCAGTGAGTGTTGAAGTTGGGGCTAGGTATGTGGGTAACGTAACAGGGCGGAAGTCTCATAAGAAGGTTGGAGAATACTGCATTCGTATGGCGTTGGCTGCCTCTTCGGCACTCTGTGCCACTCCGACTGGCGTGTTAAGCATGGGGGGATGCCGAGCTTCATTTCCCACATGCCGTTAACATGCTTGTATAGGAGCTATCTGGCGGGAGAGCCTATGGTGCGCTGAGCCTGGTGGTGGCTAGGTCCTGACAGATGGTCTACCCACTGCTGCTACTGTTGTGCCACTGGCTCATGTACTGGGCGCCTCCTCGTTGCGACCGTTGGGTGGGAGTTGGGTTTCGCCCTTCTCCCTGCTAAGATCCAGCACACCAATCCGCATGAGTCAGTGAACTAACCATGTGCTAGACCCGCTGGCTTTCAGGTGTTCATTTAATCGAAGGCTTTGGCTGAGGACCCGAGTCGTTCTCCTGTCAGGTGTGGGCGCCCTGCCAGTATCCTTGTCCATCCTCTTCGGAGGTTAGAAAGTGATTCATGGCCCACTTCCCGTAAAAGCTAGCCATGGGAGACAACAGGTCTACGGGTTATAAGCTCACAGCTCGATTGGCGTAGAGCACGAGGGACACGAATTGTCTCTGACGGTGGGAGGGCATATCCGGGTGTTCAATGGTTTGC